CCTAGTGGATGACTAGGTCTTTGGCTTTGTAATTTAACTTCTTGTGGCTACATACAATCTCCTGCTCTCTATCAAAACGTGCAAATGTGCATGCTGTCACTGAATGGTTAAAATGATTGTTTTGCGTAACCGGAACATAACCTTGGGAATTAATCTTCTTACTTATTAAGGCAAAAAAGTAATTAGGTTTTCCTTCTCATCGCTTTTCTTGGCTTTCCCGTATTTTCTGACCCAATCATGAAAGAATGAGGCTATCGGGGCAAGCATTGGTCTCTTGCATGTTCTTCATGGGAATAATTAGTGATGTTTCACCAATTACCCTTTGCAGTTTTATAACAGGGTAGTTATTCCAAACAAACTTTTGAAAACACTTTTTGTGAAACCATTTTTCCATATTTCAAGACTTTTCATGTTTTAGCAGTTACTGCCACCTTTCAAAGTCACATCTGGCAGAATTTAAGCTGAAGTAATGAGTTTGTTGTTAAAAATGGAAGGAAACTTGAGAATTTCTGTTGTGCCACCGAAACTTGCATTAGCAAGGATCTTTGACTGGGTATCCAATCTCCACTGTGACTGAAATACAAAATAAATGACGTTGGGGAGTAAGTTCCTTGTTCATTTTTATAGCCAGATCATGAATAATTTTTAAAAAAAAGACTTACTGCATCATTTCTGTTGCCTTTACTTGATCTACAATATTGCACAGTTGCTCTTGGTCCAATATTTGTTCCGAGGCTTATAGGCTCTTTGATTTAATTTGTAATTTGTCCATTAATTAAGAGGAAAAAAATGTCATGTAGTGGGTAGAGCTGGGGGCCAGGAATCAAAGCTTCTGAGTTCTTCCAGACTCTGTTACCGACCGAGGAAAGCCACCTACATCTTCTGTCCCACATTGTCTCTGGGACTGTCAATATAATTATGCTTAAATGCCCCCAAGCAATAGTGGGAAGGCTGATAATGGTGAAATGGAAAGAGCTTGCTTTCTCAAACTCCGTAGAGATATTCGGTTGTGGGTTTCAGGTCAAGTCCCCTTTAGGGTCTGCTGCTGTGCAGCTCATGTAATTATGGAAGAACACGCTGGTGTCTATTATTTACATCTTTTTGAAGAAAGTATTCAACCAGGTTTTGACTGAGAATGATTTAGCATAAATAATGATGGAAAAGGCAGAAAGGACTGGCTTGGTTTCTGAGATCCCAGTGCAGCTGGACATCTAGGAGGGGCAAGGAAAATGCTTTGCTCTGTGGAGGTGAGTACATTTCCTTTGAGTTACCAAGAAGAGGGAACATGAGTGCCCTCCCACCCTCCTGAAACCTTTAATTGACTCTGCACATCATTTTAACTGGACCTCTTTAAAAAAGAAATCAAACAAACCCTCTGTAAGAGCAAAGAAAATAAGGGAATAAATAAACAATAGGAAATACTCAGTACATGCCTGTCTGAGTCTTTCGGGGAACTCCATTTGTTGGAGGAAAAGCTGAAAATTAGGAGTACGCCAAAAAAGGGACTAGTGGGAGACAGCTGAGATCATTTTTCACTGCCAGGACCGCACAGTGTTGTCTCTCCTTTTACAACTCATCGGCAGGCATTATTACCTGGTAAAAAAATTTGTTTTGCAACTGATCCTGAATCCTCATAAATCATTAATGGCTGGCTAAGCACATTGTGAGCATTACAAATACTTAGAGAATGAGGGCCCATTCTGATATAACCTTGTGTCCAATACTAATGCCCGCTAGTTATTTAGTAATACAGAGGGGCTTCAGCTAGGAAGATCGATGAATCAATGCGGTTTCCTGACTTCCTTCTCTTCTCCACCTGCCTCTTCTCTTTATAATGCAGAAACTGAGCTAAAAAAAAAAAAAAAAACAGGACTGTTCATGGTCCTGTTTCTGTGGAGGGCAGTATGGCAAGTTGGGGGATGAAGAGGAAATTGCCTCCTCCAGATGGCTGTAGGAAAAGGAGAAGCTTCGGTGTCTCATTAGGGCTTGTTCTGGCTTCTGCTGTTTATGAGCCAAATTGCACTGGTGCTCCAGACTTGCATTTTGTGGTGTGCCTCCCTTAATGAATGCATGTAGCATAAAGCACACTGAGGTGTGTAAAGAGCAGAGGTAGACATTGTGCCCAGGAGCTGCAGGACTGGATGCAATTAAAGGTTGCTCCGTAAAGTCCAAATAATCAGTCCATTACAGGGGGAGCTGTCTGGGAACATGGGCGCTCTAACCAGCTCTCCTGATGGACGCAGAGAGCCCAGCGCCCATCAGTGCAGTGCCTGCATTTTGTGCCTCAATATTTGGCAATCTCAGCCGCTGTCATGGTTTCAAGGATGGTCTTTACTATCCTGCTCAGCCCAAGCCCAGCTCCCAAGTCCCGCAGCCTGTTCAGAGCCCAATTTAACTCTCTTTCCACTGCTCTCCTGCCAGGCGGGAGACCCTCTGTGTGGCTGCTGTTCGTGCACTTGCTATCTTTGACCATTAAGAATAATTGATCATGGGCTTTAAAAGGAGGAAATGGAATGGAGTGAAATGGAGACTGACCTCTTGCATAAGTGTAATCTTGAACTTGTATGGCTTAGTCTTGATTGGAGCCCTTGTCATGAAAGGAAGATTGTGTAGGGCTGCCACTGAGACTACAAAAGAGGAAGAAGATTGAATAGCAGCATAGGAAAAGTGCAAGTATAGTGGATGGAGGAAAGTAGATGGGCAAATTTCAACTCAGGAATGACAGAAAACAATGAAAAAAGTGAATTTAAATAGGGGATAACACAGAATATCTGAAAGTTTAGAGGGAAAAAGTAACTGTCTTTAAGACATGAAAAACAGAAAATTGGTCTGGAGGAAAATGTAGTTATTCTAAGTGAAAGTGGAAAAATGGGCCAAGACAGAAAAAAAAAAAAAAAAAAACAGAGCTTATGTGAAGAGGGAGAGAAAAATATTTCCTCCTCAGTCCCCTCCAAAAAAATGCGACGAAGATAGATCTAGTGCTACTCCTGTGAAACCAAAGATGCTGGGCACTCTGACGCTAAACCAGATGAAACACCCGCTGTGTCCAAAGTTTCAGCTGAGGCCTGAAATGTTCATGGCAAAGCCAGACTCTAGCACAGACCTGACACTTTTCTGAGGAGGAGTGAACATTAGGATCCCATGTTAAGTTTCGCATTTGCTTGAAGTATACCATTGTATTTTGGCTCAGATAAATTCTTGAAAAATAGTCCATGCTACAGCACCCACAGGACAGAGTGGTTTATTTTCCTCTATTATAGATCCGACACGAGCCCGCTGTTATTTCCGTGCCCTCTCTAATGATCAGCTTGCTCTCTGGAGAGCACTGACCCATTTCAGCACAGAATAATTAGCCTTTCAGACTCTACTGTGTTTCCATTAAATAGACATAAATGTGCAAGGTGACGTTTATTTACTTAGGCCTGAAAAATGTGTACCGCAGATGTTGGGGTTTGGGTGAACTTCAATTTCTTTTAATGCAGCGTAGTATATTTGCATGCTTTCTTGTTACTTAAACACTGATGCTTCGCAGAAATGGTTCTTGCTGAGTTTCATTGGGCGAGCATGGGGAGTAAAAAGAGATTGTTTGGGTCTAACTCGATTTTACAGAAGGCCTTTTGGCACTGCTTTGGCAATACAGTGCTGGAGCCCGACAGTGCCTTTAACTGCAGCTATAGTTACACACTCTCCAAGTCTTTTTTTACTTTGTGTAAAGAGGGCCTCCATGTAAAGAAATACTGTTGATTTACAGATCTGTCTGAAGAGGAATGTGTTCAGGGTGTTGCACGAAGAAAATGAGAACCTTGACCTATTGCAAACATAAAATAGCACCAACATCCTTTAGTATTTAAAATCAGCTCTTTTATCATCTTGATTACTGGCTTTTGAACCGCCAGACTATTGCCCAGGTGAAAAGTATATTATTCATCTTGATAGCCACTTTGGTCTGCAAACTTAGAGAGAAGTCTTACCCTTAAAAGTCCAGTCAGGTTATAAAACATGTAGGTTGCTTAACAGTACACATCCAGACATGACGACGTGGCACGCTCTTATTTCATTCGGTTAGTACCAATAGGCTGTATAACAGGAGGCGTCACGCAAGGTAGGTGCTTTAATGCAGGATGGAAACACTTTCATAGGTTATTTTAATCATTGTGATTCTCTCATGATGTGTGAAACTTGATTGTTGCTGCAAATGAAGCCATTGAAGGCTGAAAAATAAAAATGCTGTGATAGTGAAAATCCTCAGAGGGCAAAAAATGGGAGCTGCTATAAAAGGCAGTAATTTATTCTCTGTATGAGATTATTTTTTATCATGAGGATGCTTTTAAGCTAATTCCGAAACATATGCAATTGTAGTCTATACAGCTGAGGTGTATCGCAAGATGCATTGATAATTTGGTTAATTTTTTTATTCACTATGATTTAATATGCTATGTATAGAGTACTTTTGCATTCTTTTAACGGAGAGGCTTAACACATTTTTACTATGTATAAGTTAAGGATATGTAATTTTTGCAGGTCTTGTGGTTTTATTATTTTGACCCATATCCAGTTCATATTACATCATAGTGCCATATTTTCACTAATATTATTCCAGTATGTTCAAAACTTATTTGCATTTGTATAGAAATTCATTAGCTCTTGATTTTTCTTATAACAAATTATTTTCAACTTTTCTGTGATAATGCATTTCTGTGTTTCTGATTTGCTGATGCTGAAATATTTTGGTTTTGTTTATAACCTTCCAAATTTAGGATTGTTTTTTGCTTTTTTTCTGTATATGTATTTCAGTTGTTTAGACCTACTGGTTCCCGCTTTTTTTTTTTTTTTAGTGTTATGTTTGTAACTTCTGACTGTCTGTGTTGAGCCAATCTTACCAACAAAAATATCAGTTGTTTCCTGTTTCTCTACTTCTTTACAAAAAAAAAGTAAAAAGTAAAAAGAAAAAAACTCTTAATGGGAACCCTGGCACTGTCTGTCTTCTCTGTTCTGCAGAAATGTTGAAGGAGTTGAACCAGCAACGCAGAGCGAAAGAGTTTACAGACCTGAAAATTATTGTTGAAGGCAAAGAGTTTGAAGTCCACCAAAATGTTCTAGCTTCCTGCAGCTTGTATTTCAAGGACCTGATTAAAAGGTTTGCCTTCCTTCCAGCTGTGATCTGCTCTGTTCTTTTGTAGGGCGCATTTGTGTCGCTTTTTTTTCCTCCCCTCTCTTGCAGGTTTATGAAGATTGAATCTCCTGTCACAGAGCCAGTAGCCATTCTTTCCACCTCCTCTGAATGTATTTCCAAACCGAGCCTCAGATCCATTCGTTACACATCTGACTCGTACAACGTAATTATTTCTGACCAGTAGCGGCCTGTTTTGGCCGAAGAAAGTGTTCCGCCACTGAGAGATTTACAAGATTAAAACAAAACTGCTAAAAGTGATTCAGGCCACAGCTGAGAATTATGGCTGTCCGTGTTTTCAAGGGACTTGTCACATACTACAAAAGTTTTGTCCTTTGGGCTACAATAAGCCATCAGCATGCTGGTGAATGATGCTGGGGCGTCATGCTGATGAAATATTTTGAGTATGTTAATCCCTTCACCCTGAAATCTTTGTTACATGCTATGTGTGGCTTTTACGGGCAAAGGGATTGATATTTTTATTATTTGGGGACTTTTAAACCAAGAAAAGCCAATGGTTGAATTTGTCTAGGAAAAATTGGAAATAAGACCATTTTGGGGAAATATATAGCTCAGTCTGCGTGCTAGACTAAGAGTAGTTTTCTCCTACAAACACTTTGCCTTAGCTTAGGGTAGCTGTAATATGTACATTTTCTAAACGTCATGTCTCCGCCTTCACATTTTGCCCCCTCTGTTTCTAGCTGATTGATTCTAAACAGTGCATGATAATCTTTTTTTTTTCCATTACATTGATTTTTCAATTTGTATGCTTCATGTACTCGCATAGGAATAAATTGGTACTCTCGTATTATTAGTAAGTTAGAGTAGCAAGTAGGGAGAAAAAAAAACATGAGGATAACTTTCATTTTTCTCTCAATCATCAGCAAATTAATGCAGCTGCTGATTTTGCCTTGCAGTATTTTCCTGAGCAGACTGAGCCTGGACTGTGCTAAAAAATGGGATTAAAGAACATTTTGCTTGCTTCAAATCCTGTATTTAAATTTTGCCAACTAACACAATAGTGACTGTATTTTATTTCAGGATGGCATATTGGCTGGTATCTCCTTTCAGTGTATTATGTCCTTTTGCACAAAGCTGTTTTTATAATTATGGATATATATTACATTTCTATGATATAACTGTACTGACTGCCTTATCAATTATTCATAAAAAATACGTTGGCCTAGGAAGCATGTCTTTTCCCCTCTGTAAATCTAATGATTGCTAGCTGTAGCTATGCCAGATCTCTCCTGTCCCTTCTCTTCCATCTGCTCATTATTATTTAATAGTTAAGGCTACAGT